GGGGGGAAGAGAAGGGAAAAAAGGAAAAAAAAAAATGCACCCAGGAACGGTTGCTGTGACAGAGACCGCCCACAGCGGCGCCCGGTTGGTGGAAAGAGGAGCGAAGGGGATTGGACACCCGGAGGCCACACCCTGAGCACGCCCCCAGGCCCGGGCACGCCCCGCCGCTGCTCTGCTGGTCTTTGCGCCTCCTCCCTCTTCCCCTGGGAGCCGCGGACGGTGGCCAGTAACTGACCTGGCCAGCCTCAAAAACTTACTGGACTCTCACACGGTTTCCCCAGGAGGCTAGGAAGAAACTCTTCCTGGTGCGCCTTGGGAATGCGAGTTCAAGGGCCACGGGAAGATTTTCCTGTTTTCCCTGAATTCAGCCAAGCCTCCATCAGTGGCACACAACTGCATTTCAGCACAAGTCCTCTGTCTCCTTGGGAGTTTTCCCCGAGTACTCAAGGGCCTTCCTTCCTGCATCAGCCCTGCAACTCTGGGCTTTTGTTGAGTTTTGTGTATGAATATCTGTACCTTCTTCAGAGGTCCCCATCCCAACCTGTTGCCGCGGAAATATTAGCCAGAGAAAGCCTAGGCGCTCCTCTGTAACACGCAGTAACTCAAGTCAGATGTGGTGGCTGTAATCCCTTGGGAATGTGAAACTGGATGATTGTCATGTGTCATGAGTGCAAGACTAGCCTGGATTCCATAGCAAAACCTTGTTTGCAAACACTGAAAATAAAAACGGGTTGATTCTAATGCCATCCATTCTACCCATCAAGAGGAAGCTTTCTTGTTCAAGGCTCATTTTGTTAGGATGGTCCGGACTGTTAGAAATTACAAATCTTGTCGATTATCTCTGGACAGATTTTAAAGACCAGGCTGGCAAACCTCCCATCTCAACCCTTTATCACACTTCCAAATTGTTCTTTGAGAATGCAGATCCATTTTAATATTAGTTTATGTAAAATATGACATGAAAGAGAGATTTACTGCTCCTCCCCAAAGTCAAATAAAAACTGAATATTGGCCAGGTTCCATGATACACATCTGTAATCCCAACCTCAGGAGGCTGAGGTAGGAAGATGGAAAGTTTGAGGTCAATTTGGGCTACATGGGGAAACCCTGCCACAAACAAATTTGTATTGTCTGAAGCATGCCTCTTGTCTGTGAGTGCCTATGATTGCAAGCTGCCCATCAGGGTGTTTGTGATAAGTGTACATTCAGGCTCACTTAATCATCATTTGGTACGTAGATAATACTTCACTCTTGGAGGATGCCCCCCACCTCCAACACCTACCCAGAGCTAGGGAGAAGGCTAACGGTGACTGGGGATGCTTCCTTAGAGCTCGTGTTCAGACTCAAGCTTCATAAAAACAAGCACTAGCTCATACACCTGTTTAGTAAAGGAGCTGGACTTTGCTCAGCTATGTTCTTCCGCCTGTGTTTGGTACATTCATTGTTTACACTCCTAAGAGAGAGTGGACTAAAGGAAAGCACAGTGGGAAACCTCTCTAGGTCCGTGCATCCAGCCAGGGCCCGTCCCACCCATACCCTGGGTCTCTTCACCCTGCTCCAAAGAGCCAGCTGGGTGCTGGATGTCTGCTGGTGTCAACTTTCACGTGTCCTGCAACATGTCACTTGTGCGATGCTGAGTAGACAAACAGGACTCTCCTTTGCTAGAGGTGGGGTGGAGGTGTGCTTCCAAGCCTGTAATTCTGTAGCCAATGCCTCTTCTCCTTGGGAGAGAAAGGCAGGCTATGTGGTAGATAGGTCCAAGATGCAGGTTTAGGGTCCAGTCTTGGACCAATGTAAATGTCGAATGAAATTATAAACCTGCTCAGATTCAGTATAGTGGCCCGGATCACCACTCCTGCCAGGGTACACAGTCTCCAGTCCCTGGTTTCGGCTTTTCTTCAAGCAGGAGTTGTGCTGAATAGCTTTATGTCAACTTGACACAAGCCAAAGTCATCTGAGGGGAGGGAACCACAATGGAGAAAAAGTCTCTATAAAACAGGGGTTGTAGGCAAGTCTGTAGGGCATTGATTGGTGATCAATAGGGGAAGACCCAATCAATTCTGGGTTCTGTAAGAAGGCAGGGTGAGCAAGCCATGTGAAGCAAGTCAGTAAACAGCACCTCTCCATGGCCTCTGCATCAGCTCCTGCCTCCTGGTTCCTGCCCTGTTTGAGTTCCTGTCTTGACTTCCTTCAGTGATGAACAGTGATGTGGAAGTGTAAGTCAAATAAACCCTTTCCTCCCCAACTTGCTTTTGGTCAGTGTTTCATCACAATAGTAGCCCTAACTGAGAGGGAAATCTGCCCATCACTTCCATCTTTCCAGCATTCCCAGTCAGAGCCCACTCAGTCCTGTCTTGATATGGCAGCTATCCTCCAGGCTGAACCGCCTCAGAAACAAGCACAGCTTTTCTTCCCAGGCTCCTTATCCAGTTCTGTGGGACCATGCTTACCTTATCTCTTTGTCCAACCTCTCTCTCTCTCTCTCTCTCTCTCTCTCTCTCTCTCTCTCTCTTGTCTTGGTTTGTTGAGGCACAGTTTCTCTGTATAGCCCTGACTGTCAGGGAACTCGCTCTGTAAACCAGGCTGACCTCGAACTCAGAGAACTGCATGTCCCTGCCTCCAGAGTGCTGGGATTAAAGGGGTGAGCCCCCGATGCTCAACTTTCTCTATGTAACTTTTCAATGACGAAGTTATTGACAAATCCCTGAGGCCAGATTGACTTCAATGACAACCAGCAGCTGCCAACGACCCTCTCTGTGCCCCTTTCTACAGCAACAGCCAGCAGCTGTCATTGCAGGACAGCAACCTCCCGCCTCCATCACCTGAGCCTACAAGCCCAGCTCTGGAGTCTGCTCTCTTTGCTTCTGACTTCTCAGGCCTGGAGGTCCTGCCCACCTCACCCCCGTTCTTCCCTTCTTCCTTTTATCCCTTTCTGCCCATTTCCTGCAGCTTAGAGTCGCCACTGCCTGATCCACCACCTCACTAGCTAGATGGTCATCTGCATTGCCCTTCCATGTGGCGTAGGCCCTGCCCTGCCATGGCCTCCCTTCCTTGCCCTGGAAGTAGCGCTTCATTCCCGCCTTAGGGATTCCTGCGGCACAAAGATAGGTTTAATTCCAACATTTCCTGTCCCAGACCCCCAGCATCCCTTTCTTCACCACACCTGTCTGTGACCTAAAATCCCCTTGAACCTGTCCTCTGATGTCACTTCCTCCTTCCCGCCCCACAGCCAAGCCAGGTCATCACCTGGCTGCAGTTTTCCTGTGGGCAGAAGCCTGCTCCTAGGCCAGGGGTTTAGCTGGAGAGAGACGCCTCCATCCTAGAGCTCGGGGAGGCTAGTTCCAGCACTGCCCCCTTTCCACGGCTCTCTCCGGCTCTGCCAAGGCCAGCCCAGCTTGGGCAGGACCCCTCTGTTCATCCCTCCTCCAGTCTGTGTGTTCTATGTACTTAGCAGGCAGCTCAGCTTTCCAAACTGATCAGCCCATGTCCACGGTGCCTGTCTCCTCTTGGAGTTACCCTGCACATACACAACCAGAGTTTGTGATAAGAGCAGTGTGCCCATTGGAGCAGCATGCCCACTGGAGCACCGTGCCCACTGGAGCAGCGGGCATCCCCGCTCAGAATTAGCAACAATTCAGAAATAAATCTTGAGCAAAGGCTAAGGTACTTTGAGATGCAGAGCCCAGATAAGGAGAAGCAGCATGGTCAGGATAATCAGGTTGTTCTCAGCTCCCTACCCAGGGTTAAGACCACTACCAGGTCCCCATGAGGAGGCGTGGCTTTTGTGGAGTCCCCTGGACTCCAAGACACTCTCCACTCACACCCCCTATACTGGAAAATGCTTAATCATCCTTTAAAAGCGGCCTGGATGTCACATCCTCCGGGAAGTCCTCCACTAACACCCCTTATCAAGCTTGAGCTCCCTGACTTTCTCCTATGCTCCTCTAGTAACTCAAGACACAGGCTGCTGGTCACAGTGCTGCACTCTCCCTGTCCTCCAGTACTGAAGCCGCCTTTGGAAGGGACATGCATATCCAAAGGGGTCTCTTAGCTATTCGTCATGCTCCTGTCATGCTTCAACGAGCACATAGTAGGTGCTTAATAAATATTTGGTGGGCAAATGAAAGTTGGGGGAGAGGGAGTAGAGTAGGGGCGGAGGGCAATACCACAAAGTGGCCACTCACATGTTGCTCTGAGAGGTCTCCCATGGGCTATATTGGCCTTTTCTCCGTCTTCCCATAGTGCTGGGTTCCCTCCAGGCTCCTAATGGAAATGGCAGAAGAGAAGAAGGCAAGATGGGAGAAGACAGAGTGCTGAAAGGGAAGGAGCACACTATAAGGTCACCCAAAAGTCAGTTGACTCAAATGGAAGGCTTCACCTAGGGCAAGGACAGGGGTGCTACTACCCAAGTCCAGAGGTCTTGGGGTCCTGAGCCAGGACATTCTGAGATGGCTGAGTCATTTGGCGAAGAATTGTCAGCTGTCCCTCATGGAACCCTGTGATACTGGACAAAATTATCTTTTCTGGGTTTGTTTCCTCACAGACAGGGTGAGTCCACATGACCTTCGAGGTTTGGGACAGCTGATGTGAACAG